CATAAAATAGAAAAATAGGATCTTTAAAAAAAGAATTCTGCTAGGTTCATTTTCAGTGGCCTGATTGTTTAAAAAAAAAGTCCTTCCAGCATGCAGCAATGCCTACAAATGTTTTTTCTTTCTTTAAATTTTTTTTTTTTTAGTTTTAATATTAACCCTTTCATGCACCAATAATGACAGCCCGTAACCTGATACAGTAACATAAGCCGCAGGTGTCAAACTCAAGGCCCGGGGGCCAGATCCGGCCCGCCAGATCATTTTATGTGGCCCGTGAAAGCAAATCATGTCAACTTGCTAAAATCTGTACCAAATTGTCATGTGTCATAAATAACATTGAGATTTTGCAATAATATTGTTCCCCAGTTTACACTCACTTGAACAAGCTATTATAATTAACTTGACTGATTTCAAAAGTCGTAATCTATTAATTTATGTTCAATAATTTTGTGGTTCCACTGTCATAACGGCCCTCCGAGGGAAGACATAACTCCAAATTGGCCCGCGACTAAAATGAATTTGACACCCCTGACATAAGCTGTCCACCGTAGTAACCGCTGTCCCTGAAAGGGTTAAAAAAATGTTTTTCGAGACTTGGTGAAAGAGGTAAATGTGACGTGTCGGAAACTCCCATAATGGCACAAAGTGGGGAAGCACCTGAGCTTTTGACGTGCAAGGCGGACTTTTACAACGGACACAATTGACAAGAATTATAAAGTCTGGAAATGAAAATCAATGGGCAACACAACGAATGAATATCTTGATAGGTATTAAAAACAATGTCTTTATGAAAGAGGTACTTTTTGGTCAATCTTTAGAAAATAAATCTTTGCTTTACTTTGTTTATATTTTGTATCCAGATGACATAATGCACATGGATATCAATTCTATAACTGCATTGTTGTATCAACTAATTGTCCCTTTTTTTTTTTTTTTTTTTTTTTTTAATAAGAATAACAATAAGAATAACAATCCTGAAATTTGGCCGTGACGGTCATGCGCAAACCATTGCCATTTTCTTCCAGCCTCGTTTTTTCTGTGATGACAAATGAATCACACGGCGGACAAAGCGCACGATAGGGTGAGATGAGAGTTGCTCCTCTCAGCGGCGTCTGTTGGCCAACGAGCTTTCCCATCTTCGCTCGCTGGGCACGTTGACACACCATTTATTTTAAGTCCAGCTCACTTTGTACTTCAGCAGCAGCCAAATTTTAGAAGGAACAATTCAATCCAAAGGATTATTTTATTTTTTTTTGCTTTTGAAGCATGACCTCACATTTCAACACATTGGAAGTGGCGGGGCTCTTACAGAATATGTTTTGCCATACTTCCAATAGTGTTTACGTAACACCCGATGTTCTTTCACAAAAATGAACTGAAAGTCCGCCAGGTCAAAGCGCGCAAAGTATGTTTTGAGTTGGTTTTAGTCCATGACATGAAACAAAACTAAATCCAATCCAAATATTATGGAAAATGTCACTGAAAACCCAGATCAGGGGTCGTGGGTCAGCGCGGTGTCGAGTGCGATAGTTGTTACAGCTTCTGTCAGCGCATTAGCTCTGTCGGCAAAATGGCGTGGGTTGGAAGATGGGAGGAATGGTAGGCCTCGTTGTGTTGTAGGAAGAGCCACTCTCGACCCTTGGCGATGATTGGGGTGAGCGCAAGTGGGCGGTAGCGAGCTAAGTTATCTCAAAATTAAAAAGATGCACTTTTGTCCTTTGCAAATATTTGCCATACGCATTCTTCTACATCACAGGTGTCAAACTCAAGGCCTGGGGGCCAGATCTGGCCCGCCACATTAATTTAAGTGGCCTGCAAAAGCAAATCAAACTTCCATGATGCTTGCTAAAATCTCTACCAAAATGTAAAATTCTCATATGTAATAAATAAGCGACATATTGTAAGTGTTTTCTTGTTACCAAACCGCTCATTACAGTAACTTAAACAACAGTTGAATAAACCGTTATTATTGACCTTTTAATAAGGTTTCAGTCATAACGGCCCTCCAGAGGAAACGGTAACTAAAATGCTGCCCACTACAAAAGCGAGTTTGACACCCCTGTTCTAAATTCAGGATGGAAAGTGCAAAATTAATGACCCAGTGGGGGCATCGCAAAATGATTTCCTCCGCTAGTGGGATAGAAAAAATAAGCCTCCCAGCTTTGTTTTGTATCCAGTGAATTTTAATTAATTAATTAATTAATTAATTAATTAGATCTTCAACAATGTTGGAGACGGTGTTGGAGTTGTGTTGTTTTTAAAAACCGTGCCAAATAGCTCTGCCATGAAGGTCTTCTTCTTTGAAGTGGGGAAGGATGGTTCTTGTCCCTCTACAGATGGCCTTGTCCGCGCTCGACCTTGCATGAACAAAAATGCGATATGTCAAAGCCATAAATTCCTCCAGAGTCTGTGTATTCAATTTTAATGATCACTATGGCAATTCCAATCACCCACTTGATTGACACTGCCTTCTCAGCTCCGTTGTGAATTAGTGAGAGGAGGCCTATTTGTGGTCTCCGTGTGTGTGTGTGTGTGTGTGTGTGTGTGTGTGTGTGTGTGTGTTTTAAACTGCATTCACAAGATTTGCAAAGCTGTCTCTTTGGTGTGACGTCGGCGATACCTAGCCACTGCATCATAAAATGTTTTTAATCTGTTTTGAAGGAGAACCAATGTCATCTTGGGAAAAGGTCCTGTCTGATTATTTTGTGCGACAGATACCCCCCAAAATGTATTTTGTTGGGTTTCCACAAACAGGAGACGCCATTTTTGGTGCGTCAGCGCGGGATATACATGTGATCCAAAACATTTCTATATCCGCACTGCTTCATGAAGCTTTTTGAATCACATAGGAAGAGGCATCCCCCCCCCCACCCCCCACACACACACACACACAGACAGACGCTTCACTCCCGTTAACGAAAAATTCCATGGGGCATCTGTACTGTATAAGGGGGCATCCCCGCCTAACAGATGGCGGTTATATCTCGACATTGTTTCAAAATCTTCTGCTGCGCACCCCCACCCCCTCCAAAGGAGTTTTTAGTCATGGCGGACAGTTTCTTTACTTTGCCCGTGAGTTTCTTAACACATTTGTAAAGTCATAAATTGGACCTTAAAATGATTTCAGTTTTTTTATTAAACACATGTATGTGTTAGTCTTTTTTTTTTTTGTGATTCCAGGAAGGCGTCGGTGTCATCAAAAGGGGGTTCACTGTCCCTGTCTAAAGACATTGCTCACAACCCATTCCCCCCACACACACACACACACACACACAAACTTGTTAAGTCTTGTCCTGCCTCGCCTAATCTAAGTCCGGCACTTCTCTCTCTCCACCCAAGTTTAGCCAGATTGCTTTTGGTGCTCCGTTACGTAATACCAAACTGCCCGAGTGCGTCACAAGCACCCTTTTCTCCACATGCATGTATGTGTGCATGAGCTTAAACAAACGGAGCACGCAGCGTTACACTGGCCCCCTTTGTGGCCCGTTCAACTGTTAGTAACCTGTTTAATTATATCTGTCAATCAAGCAAGTCCGTTCAAGTGGGTGTACAGTGTGTGTACCGAAGACTTGCGCAACCACATGGCTTTTTCTTTCTAATTAAGTGCCTGATCAGTTTAATGTTCCTGCGTGATGCTGTCGTCCGTTTCGTTATCGTATCACTAGCGCTGTGCCAAGTTGCACGAAGCTTATTTGTTCTTTTCTGACAACCAGATATCATGCTTTGTATGCACTCTGGACAAACAAGTAACACACATTTTGACCTTTTACCAAATTTGGGATATATATTTTTTTAATGGTGCACGTGTGAAATTAATTATGATTATCCATACTAGTAATCCCATTCTACCAGTTACTCAAACAATGTGGCCCCTTTTTTTCATGAAGAAATAGCATTATAAATGTGTTTATATGTTTTAAATATATTTTAAAATGAATGCCAATTAAAAAAAAAAACACCTCAAGCGAGTCGCGCCGTTACAAATGGCGCGTTGAAAAGGAATCTCCTTGTGGTTCTTTGACGTAAATGGAAAATGTGTGTGAGCAGCGGTAGAATAAGTTGTTTGAGTTTTTCAGATCGGGATCACAAAGCTGGCGACTCCAAAAAAAAAATAAAATTGGCGGAAGAAATCCATCCGGCTCCTCTCGTCCTTCCTTTCCGAGGTTTTCTCACACACCACCGTAATTGCAAGATTAAAATACAAAGAGCCGTCAATATGATACTGTAGATAATGTAACGATTAAGCAATTATACATTGTTGGGTTCTCATTTAAAAAAAAAAAAAATCATGATGCCTCACGGAGCGGCAGGCTTGATGAATCCGTCTATTATTGAAATTGTAAAAACCGTTTACCCCATTCATGCACCCTGTAACCTGATAACATGATAAGCTGTCCACTGGAGTAACCGCTGTCCCTCAAAGGGTTAAGGATGAACATTTGACACATTTTTTTCCTGATGGACTTGGGGGGGGGGGGGATTGATTTCTATTTAAAAATCTTTTTCATGTAATGGAAAAAAAATCTACAAATAAAAATAGATGAATATTGTAAAATGCTTGCGAACAATTCATCAGAGCCTATTTGATATTTAGTTCATTTTGTGGATGCGGTTTGTTTCCTATTCATCCTCTGTTAATTTCTTTTGTTTTTCTGCATTTTATGACCCATCTTGATTATTAATTTCACCCTTACAGTAGTCTTTGTTTGCCAACCGACCCCTTTTACAAGGGCTTGTTTCCACCAAGCTGCGTGTCATGTCACGGTAGTTCGTCTGAGGCTATGAAACTGTCTTTTTCTATTCTGTCTTTGTGGTTTGGTTGCCTTTTTGTTAATTTATTCAAACGGGGGCTTATTCTTCATCATTTAGCTCACTGTTGCTGGGAGTCTGATCGAGAGAGGGTCTTTCTCTGACTCAAAACTATTTCCAGTCATGGATTCACTCCTGTCATGGTTTTTTTCTTTTTTCAACCACTTTCCCTTCTTCTCTGTCTCACTACACAGCCTCGGAGAGATTGCGGCCTGTGTGCTTTGGATTCTCCCAAGTTGCTCCTGCCAAGCAAGTCTGAAGTCTGAAGCATGAGGCTAAGAGGAAGAGAAGGATAGTAGCAATCATGGGAACACCTACTGTATCTCTGTGTGATCTCATCCAACGTCAGTCTGGAAGCGTTTATGTGGGTGAGTACCTCCTTGCCAGTTAGTTTTGTTCCAAAAAAAAAATGGCTCTGTGATCACTGATGTTATCGCAGGACCGCATTAACCTTACGTGAGAACGTTTTAGTTTTCGAATGGGAGCGTCATTAGGGCAACTCACAAACAAGAATAATGTTGTTTCTCAGCTAAAATGTCATTTGTGCCCTGGTGTGAGGAAGCAAACACCCGTAGCAATATTTTAAACACTGAGTTAGTTATATTGTATTCACAAATTGATATAAGTTGCGCTTTTTCGCACTGAAGGAAAATATTTAAATTCACCCACAGAGACTGATGATTATTTCCACAACTGGTGGCTTGAGATTGAAATGAAACAAATTTGCATTCAAACTGCGCGTGCAAGTACAGTGACTTTTTTTTTTTTAAACAAGTTAGCAAGGAAAACCCCACTAGGTGCTAAGAGTTTCCCCGAAGCAGTCCTGGTGGTTTCACACCTGGAACCAATGTTGCAGCTGCCGCGCGTGCATCCACAGTCTGCAGTCAACTTAATGAGCAGCCAATGAACAGTCTGCCAGTGAATTATACTGTCAATCATTTTCAGACTAAAACTTGATGTCCAACATGCTGGATGGAGGAAATGTCCACCTCTTGCTACTTCGTGTCTCCTGATCAATGCGAAGGGCTACCAGTTTGACGCAGATTTCTGAAATAATGAATTTGCTCGATTTACCTTTAATTGTGTCATTATTAATAATTATTGGTATTCATCTGTGTGAAGATGCTGATCATGTTCATGAATTAACAAGGCAGGAAACATGAATGTCAAGAGTCAAAAGTTTTAATGTAAGGCATACATCATCATCATTATTATTATTATCCGTCCATCCATCCATCCATTTTCTGACCCACTTATCCTCACGAGGGTCGCAGGGTGGGGTGGGGGGGTTCTGGAGCTTATCCCAGCTGTCTCCAGGCGGTAGGCGTGGGACACCCTGAACATTTGCCAGCCAATCACAGATCACACACAGAGACGAACAACCATCCGCGCTCACACTCACACCGAGGGACAATTTCGAGTGTTCAGTCAGCCTGCCATGCATGTTTTGGGAATGTGGGAGGAAACCGGAGTACCCGGAGAAAACCCACCCAGGCATGGGGAGAACATGCAAACTCCACACAGGGAGACCGGCGCTGGAATCGAACCCACAACCTGTGGGTGTGTGAGGTCGACGCGCTAACCAGTCGACCGCCGGGCTATTAGTCATTTGGTATTTTCTGTTCTTGCTAATCTGTTGTGAACCAGTAACATTTGATTGTCTCGCAAATCATTCTTGTTGTACATTTACGAGTAACGTAACCCCCTTCCATCCAGACGCTTGTAAAAACCAAAACCAAAGGATCGTCATCATATGAAAGCATTTTCATTCAGGTTTTGTTTCAACAAAGATGAGCCCCTTGAGTCAGGTCCAATATATCGAGATCTCGTTTCCCGTGTGCATACAACACTGACTCCGTACCTGAAAGCCAGCACGGCAGTGATTTCGTCATTATCGTACGTAATAAAATCCATCGCGTTATCGCCCCGCTCGAGCTGATGTTGCCCACGCCGCCCGATCAAAGACTTCTGGTGTTCGGTCCGCTTTGTAGAGTGATAGACACCTGTGGTACAAACAACAATGTCAACTCCCCTACCCTCTTGGATGGGTCGTTGGAGAGGCTGTCCCGTCCTCACTACTTCAGCTTCCTTTTCCCCCTATTTTTTTTTTTTATTTTATTTTTTTTTGGGGTCCATGACTGCAGCTCTCATCGGTGGCCCACTTCAAACGTCACTGCCTCGCAGATGGACATATTTCGCGGCACCCCACACAAACGCGTGCAGAGGCAGAAGCTGTTGAATAGAGCAGCTGCCGGGTCCCTTTTGTAAAGAAAACAAATGGCTGATTTCATCAAAGACCGGTTTCAATAAGAGAAAAAGGGTGTCGAGATTAGTTAAAAAAAAAAAAAAGCCATGTTCCGGGTAGGAAGACCAACTGAAAAAAGTGATTGTTTGGGCTTGTTGTCGCTGCCATGGTTGCTCGCTAACCTCAAGTTACCCAGCTACATGCAAATGATTTTATTGTGATGAGTGCACTGAATTCTTTTGGTGGGGGAAACGTAAGCGTGGAGCCACAAGCTCTTTTGCTCACGTCTGTCTGCGTCTGTAATGATGTCAGGGAAGTGTTGAGATTTAAATGGATCCGAAAGAACATCTGTCATTGGAACATTCATTTTATATGCTGGTTTCTCCTCTCATCCCCGTTTTACAGCTCCACCCCCGTGCCTGTAAACATCAAAGTAATGAGCTGTAAGCAGCCCATAAAGCCCACTGCATTTCTTGGCAGCTTTTTTTTTTTTTTTCATTGTGCTAATTGTGGCCCTTGCCCCTCACCACCTCACCTTCTCAGCCTCGACTTCCCTCCTCCTCGCGGTCCTCATGTCTTGGCGCTGTAAACCCACCAAGTTCTGAGGATTTATTCCCTTCAAATCGCTTCCTCTTTGTCCCCTTCATCCTAAGCCTCCCCTAAACCACACGGGCTCCATCGTTTTTATAGCTCCGAGCGCCTTTTGACGGTCACATATCAGGATCTCGGTGCCGTCACACGCGACTGGTTTTGTGGAGCACTTCTTAAACTTGAACTTTTGACCTATAAAAGCAAAGATGCTACATCCCGCGCGTGCGGAGCGGATTGAACGCGGCGTTTGGAGGTGACATTTGGCTGTTCAACGAGCTTGACGTTGATGCACGCCGCACTCATTAACACCTGCGGAATGATCGCTCCTCGCGAGTCCATTCTGTTTATTTCTATTGTGCGTCGTCATCTCACAATTCTGTCTTTTGGAAACGTGATGACTCATTTTGACACCACCGGGGGGGGGGGGGGGGATCATCTCGTCATTGCTGTAACAAGACAAACGCATGATTGTTACAATTTGAAAATAAAACAACGCAGTCACGTATTAACACAACACTCATAAATCGTGTCAGTCTCCTCCTGCTCCGTGGTGAAGTAACATCTGCCTTTTCCAAACTACAGCGACTCCTTTTGAATTCAGATTTATCGACGTGGTGAGCAGAAGCCTGTGTTGTCGACACATGATGTCAGAGAGCACTAACTTAATCATAAACAGCTGAGCATTAATATCTACAAAAGCTTCCGCCGGACTTTATGACCGCGACAGACAATGACTCAATTCTGAGTTATTCGGGGCCAAAAGCAGCTGGCATCGGGCGATACCACACTCGCTCAGCCTTTCGTCATCTTCATGATCTCTTCTTTTTTTAATTCTCTTTATTTTTCACTTCACCTGTCTGCCGATCGCACGTGTCTCCATTTTGTCAGCGATCAAACATTCGTCTTAAGTCAGCCCGCTTGCGCACAAACTTCCCAAGCCACACCTCGGTGCGTCACTGGTGTGTGCTTTCACAGCTCAATGACTAAGAGAGCAACAAATGATGCTCTGAAATTTAATCGTCCCGCCATTTGTGCCCCCTTTAGAAATGCCACTCGTGCTCTGTAATGGGACACAAATCAGCCGAAAGACCAATCGGGTGAGTGCGGTGACTTCATATGCCGTGTACCATTTTTAGGAATGCGACAGCTTGGATCACACTGTCGCTCGGGACTCAACATGCCAGAGGAAGAAAAATAAACAAACAAAAAAAAAAAACTTCACATTCTTCACAACATTTACTATGAACTACAAACTGTAGGACATGGTTAAAAACTTTACAAAACAATCCCTGAAGGAAATGCCAAGCGGTGGTCCATATAGGCTTAAGGCACATCTTTTTCGCTTGGCTTACAAAAGCATATTTACACCATTCATCCATTTTCCGATTCGCATTTCCTCACAAGGGTCACGGTGGGTGCTGGAGCCTATCCCAGCCTTCTTTGTGCAGTAGGCGGGGGACACCCTGAACCGGTTGCCAGCCAATCGCAGGGCACACAGAGACGAACAACCCTTCGCGCTCACACTCACACCTAGGGGCAATTTAGAGTGTGCAATAAGCCTGCCATGCATGTTTTTGGAATGTGGGAGGAAACCGGAGTACCCGGAGAAAACCCATGCAGGCCCCGGGAGAACATGCAAACTCCACACAGTGAGGCCGGAGCTGGAATTGAACCCGGTACCTATGCACTGTGAGGTCAGCGTGCTAACCATTGGCCCACTGGGCCGTGCATTTTATACATTGATTTTAATTTATTTTGTGTGTGTGTGTGTGTGTGTGTGTGTGTACCTATAGTATTTTTTTTTTGGTACAGCACTTTGAGTTGCATTTTCATGTATGAAAACTGGTATATATAAAAAAAATATGAAGGATTTCCCTCCATCAATGTACATGACTATCGAAATGGAACTTCTACCTAGCGACAACTGACATTATCCCATCGACATTAGCGCTTGTTCTCGAATTAAGGAGAGGTTTCATTTCAATAAATAACATACATACTGGAAATATCCATTATTTTGCCCCCCCCCCCCCCCCCCCCAAAAAAAAACAAAAAAACAATTTTCGAACTTCACGATGGCAATGTGTGAATGGGTGATGAAGGATGCGGAGGTGGAACTCCCGCCTTCATATGCAACAGCTTCCGCGTTAAGCCACGGAGGGATATCACCAGTTTTCAGATCACAGCGATGCGTTAGGATGGTGACGCGCTGAAGAATTACAACATAGATCCATCCGCTTGTCCACGCCAAGACTCGTCATATATTAAAAATAGTACGTAAATTGGACGTAACTCGAATTGTATGTTTTTTTTTTCCTTCATTCAAGGAAGGCAGTTACCCACATAATTGCTTAGGGGGCGAATCCACAGTTCATGCAAACAAGCACTCCTCCAGCCAGTTTTAGTACAGTATCTAAAAATAGGCTTATTTTTGTGTTCATAATGTCATGTTAAACCAAAAAAAAAAAAAAAAAAAGCGTGTCACTATGTCATCGCAAACACCCACAGAAATGCAGTCCAACTCAAGCTCGC